ATGAAGGTAACAGAGAAATATCCAAAGTTAGAGAAGAAGAAAAACTATAAACTCGGGTATTCATAATCTGGACACCAGGGTCCTTACTATCTCTAGTAACTGGAAAGGAGTTATTTTGAAGGTTGTGTGATACAGAAATTGAGCTTAATTGTTTCCTGCCTATACCATCAGAAATCCTAGATAGCTATGTACCTCCCTAATGTAGTTTTCCCCACTAAAAGTGAAAACCAGCTAGCTGACTAAAGGAACAATGTTCTACAGGACTGGAGACAATACTTACCTAACCCTCCTTCATATCTGACTCTCACGTTTGCTCAAGGACCTTCATGAGAGGTAGTCTGCTCTTCTGGGAGTGGATTCATGCCTCTCTCAATGCTGTCCCATACAGTTTTTAGCTTGCCTGGAATTCCATTGCTTATTCTCACTAGGTTTAATCAGTATTGATGAATTTTTCAGAGCATGACTAGTTAGAGATTTCCTTTGTGGACTGTAATTAAACACTCCTTCCTTTTCTTTCTTTTTTTCTTTCTTTTTTTTTTTTTTGCAAATACCTTTACACCATGCCTTGGCTGACCAGAGGTAGTCAGAAATTTATCTTCAGAATGATTCAGGATCATTGCACAGGAGATTCAACTTCCAATTTTTTTTTTCCCCACAATAAAGTATAACTTAATTCAAAATACCTCAGTGAAAATTGCTGATAGAAATTATTGTTCTTTTCAGTATCCTAAGATTAAATGCATAATATAATAAAACATTTAGAATAGTGAAGGCACATAGGGTGTGTTTCAGTGACTAATAAGTATTGAAAAGGAGACATATGAAGTGCTTTTCATGTTTGTGAAAAAGTAAGCAATTTTTTAAAAATAAAAACACAAGACAGTCCTCTGAATGTGTTGGCATGTTGAGTAAAATGAACATTGGACCCTGGGAATTAAGAGATCTGGTACCAGTGATCATTTTTTTTCCCTGTGTGTCTTTGAACAAATCACTTAAACTTGGGGTTTTCTTTTCCTTCTGTATAAACTAAGTGAATGACTGGATAATCACCAAGGTCCCTTACAAGCTCTAACCTGAGTTTCCATAAGATTTAAAGATCTCTTTTTCATGTTGTTAGCCTTGGAATAACTTTATATTTGCCTTGAAATCAAGCTAGAAATCATTTGCACATATTTCTGCAAACTGCCTTCTAAAGCTAGATGCATTTGTGAGTGGCTTTTTTGGCACTAAATCACATCTCTAAATTTGCAGTCTCTTATATTAAACTGAACAGTTATGCAAGATTAAAATGCTCAGTCATTTAACTGCACATGTGTGGTAACATTTGTCCCTTTTATCCATCCATGGGCCCCTTTATTTTCCTATGTCACTTCAACCTGCCCGTAAGTAAATATTTAAATATCATACTGTAGGTTTTTAGGAAGTGTTGAACAATTTGTTGTACCATTTGTATTTATTTGCTATTTTACACATGATTTCACATTTTGAATCCCTAAGTAAATACATTGGATTCTAAATGATGTCTCGATAGGTGTATAGGACGCATGATAGTTCATTTTCTAAAAAAGTCCTTAAAATAAGAACTTACGGAGAAGGAAGTGAGTTGCTTAATAAAACTAATTTGAAGGGCTGTGCCGTTTAACACGGCAAGATAAGATTTAAGAATTTTAGGTAACTATAACTTGACGATGATTAATCTATCTTGCCTAAAACTTCTAGTAAACGTGATATTTGTTAGAAGGAATGATACAGAGTAATTTCTGTTGCAATCACTTAATAAACTTCTCAATGTCAAATACAAATATTTAATTCCAGATTAAATAATGGAAGCATGGCTCTTATCATTGCACGAAACACTTCTCGACCAGAATTTATAAAACACCTAAAAAGATACGCCAGTGTTAAAAATCAGGTATAGTAGATTATTTTTGTTACTTATTTGCAAAACTATTAATCATGGAAAGAGAGATGCTGCAAGAGTTGATGTCAAATCCTGCCTCATAAGAAGGCATTATTTTCTTAATAATCTTTTTTCTTTCAGTTTGTGGTTCGTCCAAATTTTGAAAAGTATCTATCATATTAATATAGATTATTCCTTTCTGAGCTATCCATTGGTGGATACATACATTTGTGTGTGTGTGTGCACATGTGCATGCAAAGAGAAAGTAGAAAATGTAGTGTTACATTGAAATGTGAAGTAAATTAAAGATAAAATTATATACTCAGCTGTTCTTCAGGATGAAAAGTAGTGAAATCTGAGATTTTTAGCCTTCTCGATGTTATGACAGCGGACTTTCTCTAAAGTTAAGCCCTTTAGATTCTCCTGCCATTTATTTACAGATCAGCCTACTTTCACTTAATTGAAATAGATTTGCAGACCTATATTTAAAAACACACCACTTTTATACGTCATTATTCTATTCAGAACTAGAACGTGTGGTTGCATTTTTGGAGACAGATAAAATTGTATTTCCCCTTAAGGGATTCGTTTTAAAGAGAAACAATAACTATTATAAGCCACATTCATTCTTTTGGCAGAGATTTTGACCCAGTTTTTAGGAAACTGATCCAGAAATATGTGAATTTCTGAAATTGTAAGTCTTGACCTACATCAGTGTGCTTGAAAAAAAAAAAACAACCCTATAGTCTCACTACCTATAGGTATAGAGCTGTACCTGGATGTAGCTGGAGAGCGCAAACAGGAGGAGGAGGAGAGTAAAGCCAGCCAACCACTGGCAGCGGAATCTTGCTTACGTAGGTGGCATTGCAAGGCTCACACTTTTACAATTTTACACTTTCATAGGCAGTGCTCATGAAGTTTCAGTTCTCTTCTGCCTACTACATTATTTGATCAATGTTATTGAGCAACCAACTGAATGAAGTCTTTAGGAAATTGTATCATAAACATTAATAGTACCTCTTTCCCAAAATACAAATCTCAAAGTAGACAAAAGCAGGCAGAATGTAGGTTGTGAGCTGAAGTAATAACTTCACGTGTATGTGTTTGAGGAAAGACGGTGATTGTTCAAGTAATATATACCTTTTCAGATGTTATTCATTTTGTTGGCAGTGTTAGTATTTTTCTTAATCTACAAACAGTGCATGTTCATTATTCTTTTTTTCTAAGTCAGAAAGTAGAAACAACAAAGCAATATAAAAAGCTCTCAAAATTATATATTCCAAGAGCTATTCAGGGTCATTACCTTGGTGTAAACTTCTTAATCTTTCCCTATTAAACATATGTGAGAACCTCAATGTGTATTAACCTGAAGGTACTCATCCTGAGAAGCTCTATATTTATTTTAGGGAGGTACCTATTGCACAGATTATTTATGGTAATTCTCTTTTGGGATTGCCTAAGGGGCAAATTTTAAGGTAATTTTTTGTAGGATCCTTAAAGTCCCATCTAACAATGTGGCTTCATAGGTAATGAATTTGCTGGGATGCATGGAGCTTCATTTGGTGAAGGGTGCACATGAAAACTGAGGATTTAAGATAATAGACTTACTGGTGGTGGCCGTCACTTCTTGGCCTCTCTTGGCTTACAGCTGTATGCTGTAGGCTGGTTGTTTTTATCACATGGCGTTCTCCTCTCTATTATAAGGACATCAGTCATGTTGGATTAGGGCTCAACCTAATGACCTCATCTTAGCTCAGTCACATCTGCAAAGACCCTCTTTCCAAATACGGTGACACTTCAGGTACTAAGAGTTAAGACTTCCAGGCATCATTATCGGGGATGCAAGTTAACCCAGAGTAGCCAGTTAGCAGTGATTCATTTAAAACACATTATTTTTACAAGTTCACACAGAATGAAGGATGTCCCCAAGGCTTTTGACCTGAGATGGGAAGTCGAATGCAGTGACTACTGAGCAGTTTCACAGAGAGCCTGCCTGCTTCCGCAGAGAGCTCCTTGGGACCCTCTAACTCTGTACCTCAGTTAGAATAGTGATGCCACCCTGTAAATCCAGTATAGTTCATTGTAGTCACCCAGTGCATTATATCCTATAAACTGTAAAATCTGTTGGACGTTGGTTTCTGCATATGTAAAATAAGGGTGTGGAGGGTACTAGTTTTCTGTCAACTTTTAAAAATCTATACCTCACTGAGGTTCATATGTGGAAGGGGAAAAAAACCCATGTAGATAATAGGAATAAATCTCATGCCATTTACCTAAAAAGTGAAATAAGTGAGTGGTTATTGTGCATTGCTACTAAAAAGGTACTTGGCTATCTTTTCTTATTTATGAGAATACATAATTTTTCCACTGAAGTTTCCTTAGACAAACAAAAATGGAAACTTGAAGATACCCTGCATCATTTAGAGTGGTCAGTAAGTAAACCATTGTCTTTTGACTTGCATCCATCTTTTTTTTTTTTTTAAAGATTTTATTTATTTGAAAGAGCGAGAGAGCACAAGCAGGGGGAGCAGGAGAAGGAGAGGGAGAAGCAGACTCCCTGCTGAGCAGGGAACCCGATGTGGGGCTCGATCCTAGGACCCTGGGATCATGACCCGAGCCAAGGGCAGACGCTTAACCATGTGAACCACCCAGACACCCCTTGACTTGCATCCATCTTTAAAGTGGGAATTTGGCGGGCAAATACCTACAAAAGTCACATTAGACTGACTTCCTCTTTCCACCTTCCTAAGCTTAGAGCTAGGGTCTTCCTAATTAAATTCTAAGTGTGAAACTTAGTGTGCTTTACATCACCTAAACTAGTTGACAAGTTATTAAGTTAGTGGATTATATAAATCTTCTGTGTCAACAGCCGGATATTAAAAAATCTTTAATTGGAAATGGTATGATATTGTATACAACCTCATACTATTGGTCATAAAACAAGTTGGCCAGCTGCTAGATCTCCCAAAGAAATCGGGGATCCCTGGCATAGAGTTTCAATGCTATAAAAACGTCCTCATGGATGTTGATATTTACATGCAAGGGAGAGCACAGTAAACTTAATTTGCATGAGCAGTTAAGGATAAAGCAAGCATCATGATTATTTGCATTTGTTTTATTTAGTTCAGTTTTCCATTTGTTGAGACTTACACCGTTGGAGAAGTAAAAGTTAGTCCAAAGAATCTTAGTGGATACAATCCAGAGGACGATGACGACGGACAGCACGCAGCTGCTTCAGAAAACAGTTTCCCTTGGAACATAGATGGTGACTTAATGGAAGCCACATCAGAGGTTCACATTAAGTAAGTGTCATTATTTCACCACCTTTAATGTCCACCAGTAGACACAAAACTATTTTTTTTAATAAGTCAGGGAAACATTAAAAGATGTACAATTTTAATAAATAAAGTGTAACTTTACATTTACTCACCCATTGTTACATACAGCCAAAGCATTTTCGTGTAGACTCATCACCAAATTTTCTGAGTCTCTATCTTGGCATTTCAAATTTCTCCCTAAACTATACAGATGATGTCTACAACTGACGTTTTGTCATTTTAAAAGTGGATCCAGATCTTAACCTGGTGAAAGCCCTCTGAGTTGCAGATTGTTACATTGAAATCTCTAGTCTTCATCACTAGGTATTCAGCAGTGTGCTTCTCTGAACTCTTTCCAAAGCCTTCAGCTTACTTTACACAGGAACAATGTTACATACTATTTAATAGGGGCAACTGGCGCAGGCAAGTTTAGGACCATGCAGACTCACTGTTGGTAAGCATTAGGACTCAGGGGGAGAGGAAGGGTGCAGGAGCACCCCACTATAGGCACAGTGCCTGGATGTCACAGTCATTACTGGTGCTGGTTTATCAGGCCCCCCAGTTTATAAGATGGCAGCTCTGCCACGAATATAGGTTTGGAAGCTGTCGTTAGATTTGGATTAGGTCTTAGGTACCGCACTCAATAGGTGTATGTGTGAAAACGATAGGTTGATGAAATAATTATACATCTTTTTTTACAGATTACATCCCAGACTTATCAATCTTTATGGAGGAAGCATGGAAGAAAGGAATGATTCCCAAGTAACATGTAATTGTTTATAAAAGAAACGTACAAACTAGAATTTTAATATGAAGGACTATGGTCATGCTTTAAACATATAGGGAAAAATTTTTTTTTAAAAGAAATGAAAATTGCTATTTTTGTCACTAAAAATTAGCTTCTAGAGCTTAAAACATGAAATATAATTTAAATTTTGGGTTTCAGAAAGTATTACTGGAACTGAAAGTAAACATTCATATACTTAATTCCCAAGTGAAATAATTGGAATGCTTTCACTTTTCAAGATTTGATTCCATCAGTACTGATGTGAAAATTCCTAGAGCCTGGTATAGATGGATACCCGACGTTACCTGAAGATGCCCTGATGAGATACTAATCCAGATTTCAAAATCATTCCAATACCTACATTATCTGCCAAAAAGATAAGCGTTTTAAGTTGTTAGGGTACCAATTTTGGGACTATTCCCTGATTTTCTTTAAAGTCTTTTAAAATCCATAACATATTTTAAAGTATGCAAAATAGCTAACTAGTGAGGAGCTGTTTTCTTTGCTTCTGAAAGTCCTGGTATCCAGCAATCCTAGCACACTGGTTTTAGTGCACTCAGTAATGCCCCAAATGCTATCATTTCTGAGTAGAAAAGAGCCAGATTTAAATTTCCTCAGGGATCATCCTCCACCAATGATTACAGAAAAATCTCCTGGAAGAATTACTTTGCTTTTTATGTAATGACAAAAGCAAATCTTTTGCTAATATAATACTTTGAAAGAATACCTTTTTAATTTAATTAATGATTGCATTCAGGAGGCTTCATGCTCACAGATTGGGCGTCACTCCTCGAATGCTTGCACAAAGCTCTGCCTCCCTTGTTGTCTGGCCACCAGCTACTACTGTGGGCTCGTGAACAGAGAACTTAACAGGAATTTAGGCAGCCTGAGAAAGACAGCTGTTGGCAGGGGCTTCATATAGATGGAAGTCTTTTACTATTTGATCACTTCCATAGTAAAGACAGATACAGGACAAATCAGATGAAATTATATTCTGCAGCTATCAGCATCCAGTTCATATGCATGAATAAATAGTAAAGATTATCACTAAAACCTAGATCATGGAAATTTTGATGTCACATTTATATTTACTGAATACAAGCTAAAATTTAAATTTCTAAATTGTTTCTCTAATTCTGTACAGATGAGAATGCTTATACACCTGATAAAAACACATTTCATACATACATTTGAGGAGAAAGTAGTATCTACACAAGTAGGTGCATTTGCTTAATTTGACAGTCACTATTTTACACAGTATCTAATTTATATGAGATACTGGCCTCTTAAGCACGGTCTGCGTAGAGTTTGGCTTTTTAAAAGTCATTAGTGAGGTACAGTTTTCATATTTTACATATATCAGTGTATTTATATTTGAAATATCAGCTAAAGTGCAACATTCACAATCTGTTTCAGAGTATAAATTAGAATTCTTAAGTACTTTTGTTTCTATAAGCAAAAAATTTCACTAAAAATGAATTTTAGAAATTTACTCCTGGGTACCCTTGATAAAAATGTGTTATAGGAGGACTAGTGGATTCATACCTATATAAACATTTTTTTAAGAACTTATGTATATATACAGAAAGAAAGAATCCATAGCTGCTTAACAATAATTATCCAGAAGTCATTAAGCTCAAACCAGTGTATAAGTTCAGTCTGAAATTTGCTCCTCAGGCCCATAATGCTCTTACATAGACTGCTGAATAAATCGTTGTTGATCAAAGCCCATCATAAAGGTATTACAAAGAAAGGTCTTTAAAGATAAAATCTGCTTTAAAACATTAGTGGTCTTCTTTTATTCATTAGAAAATTGAGGAACAGCTCTTCATTCTTTAAAAATATTTAGCAGGATTTTTCCAACAAGTCTCAAAGATCTATTAGAAATGAATCATTGCCTATTCAGTGGAGTTTATTTTACTGAAGTAAGCACACTCGGCAAATAATTTCTTTTAAAGGAATGATATTTCAAGTCCAAGACTTCTCCAAATGAGTTGTTTACTTCCTCAATATGATTTAATTCAGAAGCACTTTCATTTCAAGGTATCTTCGAGGGATTACTTACCTTGAATAAATTGAATGCTTTAGTGTTTTTTTTCTATCAAGAGCAGAGAGATTACTTTCCTCTTGAAGAGTAATGATTGCTTGGGATTTTTCACTTGCATTGAGACCTAATATGTCACAAGGTCATGGTAAATGAAGTACATCGAAATCTGAGCAGAATTCGGGGTTTCTTGTAAACACTGTCTTAAATTTCTTTGGTTAACCTGAGTCTCTCAATTTGAAAGAAGTCTTTAATCACCATCATTGCTTTTGCTGTTAACGTAGCTCCAGCTGTCTCTTCTGTTTTCTTCTTGTAGGACAGATTTGTACTGTCTTTTAAAGAAGCCAGCCTGAAAATAGTATTGCATAATCACTAGTGTATAGTTACAAATATATTACACTCATCAGACTCCTGAACAGTCACTATCCCATGTAGTCAATAAAATTTACATGGGAAATATTGTGTTAAAGAGCATTATTTTTGTTGGACTGCTCGGTGACACACTCTCTCCAAAATGGACATTAAAAATAATATGCAGTGTTTTCTAAGAGCTTTTTAAAAGAACATCTTTCCAAACTAGTGTCATGGCTGGAATACTGGTACCGAAGTTAGGAGAAATAGGAGATCAGTACTACATGTTCACTTGGGAATTTAAAAAGTTAACATTAAAAGTGCTGCAACAATTAAATCTAATAACTCAGGACTCACAAAGGGGGCTTTGTGAAAATCAAGAACAGCATTACTGAGTGGTTTAACATGGGTAATTATTAAAGGCTTACCTTCCACATAACGTATGAAATCAATAAAAGTAAAATAAGTCCAAGTAGCAAGCTACTTGAAATAATCGCTATTGTGAAATGACGTTTGGGTCTTTGATGATGTAGTCCTTCAAGTAAAACCTACATAAAGTAACCAAAATAAAGAGTCACCAGTTTAAAAACTTGCTTCTATTCCCTTTGAACCCCCCGACCCCAACCCATGATTCCCACAGTATTTTGAACAACCCCCCCCTTCTCTTGCTGGTTCTAAGAAACATTGGTAACCATTTAGCAGAATCAGCTTGCTCCATGTTTCTTTATCCAGATAATCCCTACCAAGTTCACTTCCTGAAAAAGTCGTCTGCATCCTTCCCTCCCACCAGTTGTAGAAAATGCCCAATCTCAGTAAAGTATTTCTAGCCCTCCATGATCTAGTCAATCTATTTTCCTGACTAAACGCTCCAGCAATAGTTTTTCCCTACAATCCTAAGGTTTCAGGTAAAATGGTAATCTTACGTGTGCAACATTCTCATCCTTGTTTAGTTCAATAACTTTTGGATTAGGCTCTGGAGAAGCTGTTGCTCTTATTTCAAACTTGAGGGCTGAAGTCTCATCCTGTTTAAAAAAAGAAAGATCACTGTAGCCTGACTCATAGTTTTATTTTGTGAAGACATATTCATTTCTCATGATCCTTACCTACTAGCTGAGGCTTTTACAATTGATCTTCCCCAATTTATTTCACTCTTTATAGTTAATTGCAATGCAACGCTTCCTTTGTTTCCAAAGGCATGGTCATAGTATTAATTTTCCTGGCATCATTTTGTTGAAATCCTTTTATTTTTATTTATTTATTTATTTTTTTAAAGATTTTATTTATTTATTTGAGAGAGAGAGAATGAGAGACAGAGAGCATGAGAGGGAGGAGGGTCAGAGGGAGAGGCAGACTCCCTGCCGAGCAGGGAGCCCGATGCGGGACTCGATCCTGGGACTCCAGGATCATGACCTGAGCCGAAGGCAGTTGCTTAACCAACTGAGCCACCCAGGCGCCCTGTTGAAATCCTTTTATTAAACATGAATAGTTTAGGCACCTGGGTGGCTCAGTCGGTTAAGTGTCTGCCTTTGGCTCAGGTCATGATCCCAGGGTCAATTTCCCTATCGGGGAGGGGGAGGGTCCTTGCACAGCAGGAAGCCCGCTTCTCCCTCTGCCCCCGACTCCTGTGCATGTGCTCTCTCTCCTCACAAAAATAAAATCTTAAAAAAAAAAAAAAATGACTAGTTTGCAGATAACTGTAGATATTTGTAATATTTAAGTATTTAAATATTTGATAGTTAGCAGTTTTTTTCCTAGATATTGAATCTTTTTCCCAAATAAGACTTTCTTCACCTGATAAATGTTTCTTCAAATTTATTTTATCTAGGCTTTTTTTTTTTTTTCCCCTAAACAGTGTTGTCATCTTGCTGCTCTGATAAAATACATATAGTTTAATACCATAATGGAAAAATCTGGTACAATGCCAATAGTGCCCATTGTTGAGAAACCTGGACTTCAAGTGTATGAGGAGGCAAATTGCAAAAGTTTAAATAACTTGTTGATGGTCTCATGATTTAGTTTTAGCACAACTGGAACTACAGCAAATATCTCTTACTTCTGTATCTGGTGGATCTTTTTTCCCCCTTGACCACTGTGTAGCAATTTTAAACATTTCTTCTTTAAACAAAATAAAACTACCATTTTCTTTGGCTTACTATACACCATGCCCTAAGTGCTTTTTACAAAATGTATCTCATATAATCTGCAACACCCCTGCAAAAGACATTATCCATATTTATCAGGTAAATTGAACAGAACTCGAGATAAGACCAATTTTATCTTTTTTAAAGATTCATTTTAGAGAGAGAATGTGAGTAGGGAGAGGGGCAGAGGGAGAGAGAGTCAGTCATTAAGCGTCTGCCTTGGGCTCAGGTCATGATCCCAGGGTGCTGGGATCGAGCCCCACATCAGGCTCCCTGCTCTGCGGGAAGCCTGCTTCTCCCTCTCCCACTCCCCCTGCTTGTGTTCCCTCTCTCGCTGTGCCTTTCTCTGTCAAATAAATAAAATCTTTAAAAAATAATAATAATAAAGTAGTTTAGAAAAAAACCTTAAGGTTATATAAAATAGGTAGCCAATTTCTGTGATTTAATCAAAGTTTATAAGCAATTGGACATGCTTTCTAAAATAAACCTTAATTATTCCATAGTCTATTTTACAGTCTTAATTATCTGTTTAATTACTAAAGCCCTATCATTTAGACAGTGTATTCAGCTGAAGCGATACATGCAAACAGTTGTAGAGTTCCACTCCAAATTTTACTATTCCTACTTAATTACTTAAATGCCTCCTCACATTTCATTCTACCTAAATAAGATGATTGTAGATAAGTTCATAAAAATCTACAAACTCGAAGTTGTCATTTTATTTTACTTACCATTTCCGAAAGGTATGGCCGGCCTTCCAACTGAATGTGAACACTGGCTTCTTTTCCACTTTCCATTTTCCCAAAATGGCAGAAAAAATTTAAACAATATGGATCAGCTTTTATGCAGAACTTGGAAAAAAAATACAAAAGAGCTACGTTAAAACATTTTTTTAAAGGTGGCTAAAATATTTTACGTGGAATTAAACATCTCCCGTGGGTGGCATTTAAAAAATTATTTTGCTTTAAACAAAACATGAATGTCTGTTTTATAAATTACAACAAAAAAGTATTTGAGCTGAAGCATGTGTTCTGAGAATTAAAACAAAGACTCCTAATCAGGGCCGTGTTAAGTTACATGTTCTATGTTGCTTTGTAAAACTTGGATCATTTGAAGGTAGGATCACTTCCTCAGGGTTTTTGTTTTTTTCATAAACTCACTAAAATGAAAGGAGTGAAAGTTAATCTCATGTCACCAAGTCTGCTCAGCTGAATACTCTATCTTGGCCTCCTAAAGGGTCTAGAACAATGTCTGGCTGGCACAAAATCGGCATTGGTTAGATAAATAATGAAATTGGATATATATATATATATAGCCCTGGGTCTCTCTCTCCAAGCATGTGTGTTCCTCATGTGCAAGAGTATTACCTTGTTTCTTTCCTATACTCAACTGACAGCTCAAACCCACTGGTTCTTGGTTTTAAGTGCTTCGGTTCTGTATGCTGGAAAGCAAAACCTACAACCTGAAAAATGGAAACTTACCAGTAGCTTCTTATCAGTCTTGGACAAGAATTTGAAAATGTCTTTCAGGATCTCCATTGGACCTTTCTCCTGCTCTAACGCACACTTTCTTTGATAATTTTTAAAATGGCATTCTCCAGCAGTAGTCTATATAGATAGAAAGTGAGAGAAATCTTATCCATACTGGAGAGAACTGCAAAAACTATATGATCTGGAAAGTTCCAGTTGCTTACCTTTTCTAAAATATATCAAGTATTTCTGAAATTGTGAAAATATCTTTGGGACAGACTTACTTGGGAAAGATTAAGTCTCCATGGCAAAAACTCAGAAACCCAGCAACATTTTAGCAAGGTTGGATATAGGTGCTAAAGTGAGCACAGGGCCCTACCTTACAGAAAATAAGGCAATGTGAAAAATGGACACTTGAACATTAGCATGAAAGTCAACATTTCTTTGGCTTTAGACACAAAACAAAACGGTAACTTGTTATAACAGCATGTCCTGCCATCTAAGTCTGGAATTCAGGTAAGATATTTTAAAATTAGATCTCAAACCCAATGAGCAGATTTATTTGTTGACTGCTTGTCTCGAAAATGGGAAGGTACAAAACAATCCCGATGTAATCATCAATATAAGGGTGTCAATTCTGTTAAAAAAAAAAAAAAAAAAGGCTGAAATACTGATTTTTCAACAGAGGCCTCAAGATTTATAGAGAATTTCACCAATTATGTCCACAGGGCCATTTTCACAAGGAAAATGCACTGAAGATGGAAGGAGCAGAGTTCTGTTAGCGATCGTATACGTCAAATGACCAGGTCCCTGTAACCCTACAATTCTAATGCATAATAGTCAAAGTGTACTCAGTAAGTGCGTGGTGAATTCATAGCTGAGAGTGTGACTCAAGTTAACAGATTTATCTATTTAGCAACATAGAATAAAGGAAGGAACACATTTTTACCTGGACATCCAAAATGTTGAACAGCTGATCGGTTTGGGGGGCAAAAGAATTTGGTACCATTATTTCCACACTAACATTCGGAGCCATGCTATGGCCAGTGTTGATAACCTGAGAAGGAAGAAAAAAGTTTTTAAACAACTTAAACATTTTTCATAAATGTAAGGACAGGTATCAGCGAGCTTTTGGGTGAACCCAGATGTTTCATGTAACATTCATAGTGGTGGGGGGTTTGGAGTTGGCAACTGCATGGCAAAGGGACATCAAAGATCCACAGTCAGAACTTTAAAAAGTTTGCTAATAATTTTTTCATTATTCCTAGCCCTCTCCTTTTGATATTGCTCAGGCCAAATGGTCCAGGCTGTTGGTTATTGGAGAAACAGTCTAAAGAAAAAGACAACATACATTTGTATGGCACATTATGTATCTAAAAACCCTTGATCAAGTTATCCTCACAACTATCCCATGAGGTGAGCTGACATTTTATTCTCCAGCTCAGGAAAAGGCTCAAAAGTGTGAACGATGTGCCTGGGATGGCTACAAAGTGACAAGAAGCTCAGGTATTCTACCTCCAAACCTCAGGTTTCACAAAATCACTCTGCTGAGAGGATAATCCTCATCGCAGTAAGTGAATAAGAATATATTTCAGTTCAGGGTAATGATGCTGCTGATGCACTCAGAAAATCAGAAAGGGGTAGAGAAAATACAACAGCCTTTTCATAATAATGCAGAGGTAGATGCTACTTCATTATGGATAAATTTGGGGATTGCAGCTCTCTGAGGAAGGAAATCCGGCCAAAATTATTGTCTCCTGAGAGCTTAACTATGAAACCCATTGAGTGAGTCAGAAAAGAGATGTGCTACAGTATCTGAATGAAATAGCATGACTCCTACATTTGCAATCATCTTTAGGAAGCACATGACATGGAAGAAAGAATGTGTCCCTGGCGTGTGGAGACGGCTGGGCCGTGGGGTACAGGGCAGTCGCAGAAGGTGGTCTCAGCAATGACAACCCTGCACTGCCCAGACCTTTAGACAGGGTCTTCCTCATGCCAGCCAGTGATCGGTCTAACCTCAAATATCCTTCATCCTTGTTCGCCTAATGACCTTGAGACCTCTGAGAACCTCCTCCAATTTGCACAGACTCACCGAGCCTACAGACTGAAGCTACCTCCAGTGCTATTCACTCCATTGTAACTTAAGTGAAAAATACTTAACCACGCATTTTGTAAGTTAAAAAATAGGCCTTCTAGAGTCTGTGCTCTGATAAACTAAAACAGAAACTGAGCTGAGCTCTCACTGGGCTCTGATAGGAGCATTTCTAGGGGCTTCAAAGCAGAGGGCTATATTTTTTCAACACTAATGGACACTAATATAACAAAAACTCTGCAGGATTCCAAGGTCATTCTACAGATCTGGAGCAGGGTCCAGGAATTTGCATCTGAGTAAGTACCTCAAGTGATTCTGACCTACATTTTAGTTTAATTTTTAAAAAAATATTTGTTTTAGAGAAGGAGCATGAGCTGGAGGGGGAGAGAGAGAGAAAATCTTAAGCAGATTCCACACCAAGCACAGAGCCTGACATGGGGCTTGACCTCACAACCATATCACAAGATTCAGACGCTTAACTGACTGCACCACCCACGAGCCCCGCTGACTTACATTTTCAAAAGCATTGCCTTACAAAAAAATATCATAATGTACCTAAATCCAGACTCACACACATTCTGTGGATTGTTACACAGCTCTAAGAATGTTCGGTGTAGTGCTTTTGATTCAAAAAAATATTGTTGTGGACATTATCTCCAATTATCATACCCATGATGCCTCAAAAGTTTCAGTTTAACAGTAAAAATTTTTTTAAATTTACCTTTATATTAATGTGTTTGGATGATGATACTCTTTTTTTTTTTTTTAAACAATTTAATAAATGACATTACTTGTAACAGGTCATATACCTATGACCTAAACGGCTGACCAAACAGACCTTAAGTGGGGATGCAGGCGGTAAGAGCTACCTTTACTAGGTAATGTTAGTGCTTGTATAAAAGCTTAAACCAAGAAGAGAAGTCACTGATTTGCACCCAACAATGCTTTCCCTTGGCCTATCCTGATCTCCGTATGCACCTCTAGCAGATTCAATTCCTCCCGTAACTTTGCCTGTTTCAGGAGTTACCTCTGTGTCTGGGCTTACTCCTTCCCATGGTATTTGTAAGGAGTCATGGGCTTTGGTAACAGGGCAAAGGCAAGGGGAGAAACCAGGAGCAAGGACCCAGGAGGAGAGGGGATAGAGTAACCGTGCTGTCACCAGCCATGGAGGGCCCCTAAGCCGCGGGGCATCACAGCCTATGATGTCCTCTGGAGCAAGGCAGCAGGAACAAGCTTTCAGTTCCCTACAAATATCACAACAACTCTTCTTACATGGAAGGTGAAGTTCATTTTCTCTGCCATGCACGTCTCAGGCTCATTTTCTTCCTTTGGTCCATACACAAATGAAGTTGGGCTGACAAACCTGAAAGAAATAAAATCAAATTTAATTGGTCTTACTTGATGAGCTATGATAAACAATCTTTATAGTCTGGATTATTGCATCTCTCTTAAAAATGCTATTTAAGACTATATTCCAGACTATAGAGGCCTCTAAGAACCAACGAATATTTTTGGTTTCTTGGTAAGATACGAATTTTAGTGAAATGTAAGAAAATCAGAAAGCCATGTGCTCTGACTTGGGTGTTAATGTCTCTTCCCACGAATATCCTTTGGTTGTCTTCCCAGCACTGCCTGGTTCAGTCCACTGGCCATTCCTTCTCTCTCAGCTCTCAAATGGTTCATATAAATTTGACAAATATGAGAGAAATTCTTAACTTTATCCCTATAGCTCCAATATCTTCCTATAAGTCAATCTATTTTACCTATTTTTGAATTATGTCTTTATGATCCAATTCCTGCTGGCTATTTGTAATGAACCCCAAGGCTGGGGAACAATTCAAACATCAGTAAGTATGGTAAACTTTCTGCTTAGGAATACACGGTTGTCACTCTTTTGCCTGTGATTAGACATAGAGGTCAGTAGTGAATTCTAAGAAGTATTTTCCTGGGGAATCCCAACTCCACCAGTTGCTCTTATTTGGCAGCTAATGTGAAGTAACACAAATTAGAGACTGGCTACACAGAAATACCGAAATGCTGTAGATTTAGGCAGTTTTATACTCGCAGAACATTCCTTGCCCAAAATACTGTGTGGAGGACATTCGTCATAAGAAAATCAAGAAAAGGAGGTGAGATGAGGCTTCAAAACCAGGAAACATGGTGTCAGCTTTTCTCTGCTCCCCACTGATGCACTAGGTTCTCCCCTCCTGAATGGCTTCCTCTCTCTTCTGCTTGTTTCATCTCAGAAACGTGATACTCAATTTCTTTCAGTTGCAGACACCATTTTTATATAATTATATGCCATCTCTGCGAGTGGTTAAAAATGACTGGGGATGGTTTATATTTAGAGCAACAAGAAAAGCTCATCAGTCTATTTGTTCGGTATCTGTTCCTTTAAAAACAGGGTTTTAGGGACGCCTGGGTGGATCAGCTGGTTAAGCATCTGCCTTCGGCTCAGGTCATGATCCTGGGGTCCTGGGATTGAGCCCAGAGTTGTTGGGCCCCCTGCTCAGTGGGGAGCCCACTTCTTACCTCTCCCGCTTTCTCTTTCTCTCAAATAAATAAAATTTTGTTAAAAAAAATATGGTTTTAAACAAAGACTAATAGCCTGAATCATTTCCAGTAAAATCACTAAATGTTTTCTTAATACTCCTTAAATCTTTCTCCACGTGTTTCCATCTTGAATCTGAGGAGGGTCCACACAATCACTTACATTGTGGGGAACCAGTGAATGCTGGCTCTGGGGCCGTGGGTGAGTGGTCAGGGGACACCTTGCAGCTTGGCTCTCTCATATCTCCATCAATTTGCCACACAGGTAGATGTGGGTTCTGGAGAGTGGTGAGTGGACCAAGCTTACACTTCTTGGAACTTCACACTGGCTGCAGCCACCAAGCATGACCATACCAACTGCACACTGCCCTTCCCCACCCCCGGGGCCCCTGGCCTGCACAGCATACAACTGACAGGCTGGACATGACCTGCTAGAGGCTTCTGGGGCTTTTCCAGGAAGAACACCCCAACTGGGTACTAGCTTGAAGAGGCCTCAGTAGTGATTACAGAGCGCATGAAGCTAATGAAGAGCTAAGCAAGAGAATGCAACACCAGGTCTTTATTAAGGGACAGAAACAGCACAGGATCTTTACTTAAAAAATTTTTAAATATCTTTTTGACCAATAATGTAAGAAGCAACAGAATTTAAAATCGGCTCTCAACTTTACAGGAGGCAACCGAATTTACTTACCCATGAACAGTTAGCATGACTTCATACTTGAGAGGTATTGCTAAAGTCACTTTGTTACGCTTCAGGTCGTCCATTTCCCCTTCATTTGCACTACAGAAGCAAATAGAAGACACCCTGTTAGAATCCCCCAAACATAAAAATCACCTTCAGAGAGGACTAATCACATATCATGTATACCGAATACATCTGGAGGCTTGGGGAGTGGGGGGGGGGAATAGACGTGGTAAGAAATGTTTATGACAGGGTTGGCAGAAATTTGCTCTCATTATTTAGTGTTATTTGCTCCAAAGATGGTTAGAAATGTTTTTGTTTCTTAGATCACACAAGAGACGTTTTCTCCTGCAGACAGTGGAACACAGCTTCATGGTTCCCCTAAGTCCCCCCACCCTAAAGTCAGAGGTCCACTTCCTTTAGCACCATTATTTTTTCACAATGTAATATACCAGGTGGCATGCACTGTGATGCTGAGATCCTCTTCTGCTCTGCTGAGTGAGCTCACATCCAGGAGAAAGCTGATATCTATCTGTAAAACACAGGGAAACACCTATTTAAAAAAAAAATCCAAAAATAGTATTTTTTATCATCTGAAATTTTCTGAATGTTGATGTTCTGTGGAATGCAGATTGGAGACTATGTTTTGGAAGCACGGCTACCCCTCACTCAGGCATTGAGCTCCGGGAAGCTATTGGGGTTGTGGCAAATTTAAAGCACCAGCAAGTGACATTCAGAGACAAAGCCTCCTTCTAAATGTAAAGACAGGCAGGTCCAGACTGACAAAATTAGAGCTGCTTTAACAACTTGAGTGAGGACTCTTGCCAGTAACACCTTTTTGTATAGCAGAGGTAACATGCCTGGCAGATAGGACCACCTGGGGTGGAGAAGGGTAGGGGGGGTGTCGGGGAAGGGTGAGACAGGGGAGTAGAATTCTGATCGACACATTCACATGCCCATCTTGACACAAACATGTGCCCCTATTTTTTTTTTCACAGTGAACATTGCCAAGAATATAAACACAATCTCAAAGATCTAAGCCCAGTTGGTTTGAGTTTTATTTCGTCACTTAGCTACTTACCCTAAGCAAATAAATAATTATATACTTGTTCACAGCATAAATAGAAGAAATAGAAAATATTTTATGTTCATGTTCATAAGCAAAAACTATACATGCTAAATGCTTACCCTTGATAGGTGATCTACATATATATAACCAACACTGCAGTCAAGTTTGACTAAGCCAGAGCTGTCTGTCACTTCACAGCTTATTTGTTTCTCTTCCTAAAAGGAAAAACGAAACAACCACTTTAGGTAAGAAGGCAAGGAGAAGTTTGTAACATATGCTTAAGAATAATAGTCTTTGAAAAGAAAATCATTCCTCAAGAATTTGCTTTCCTGGAAGACTATTTTCTGTTTGCTTTTGGGATAAGTAGAAATATAAATAAAATTTGTAAATGTGAATGTGCGTGCACGCACACAGAGGTATATTTTAATACTCCTGTGAATTCTCCAAAGAATACACAGAAAAATTCCTGGGCTTGTAGCTTTCATTCATGTTTGTATTCCCCATTTAATTCAAGGTCCAGTTTCTTGAAAAATCATGAAGCAAGTATTTCATGAAGGCCCTATTTCATTGACCCTCTTCTGTCTGGGATGTGAGAATGTGATAAAAGTATAGAATTATAATAACTGTCATCACAATAGGATATATATATAGTCAAATATTCAGGGAAATATACATCTTGATGTATCTATATACTGTACATGTATACATATAAATACACACTATGTATATACTGTAGATGTATATGTGCTATAGATGTGTGTGTATATATATATACTATAAATGTACTATATATTATATAGACGGATATTTTTTGAGTTTTCCCTCATACTATTGCAAATAGGCTCCCAGGGCTCTCTAAATGCCCTTGGTTTGAAGAGATGGTCTCTGGATAAGAGAGGTGTAAATTTGCTAAGGGAAAAGAGGCATCAAAGGAGAAAGTGACTGAGGCTTTTCTCTTTGAAATCCACCTTATTAATGCCTTGCTGATAGATTTAACTGTTCTCGACTGAGGCACGGTGCTCTAGGTGCTTCAAACTCTTGCCGGAAAAGAGAACTTGCCTGTGCTCTGGTTGACACCAAGACTTCAGAATTTGTGGGGGACTGCTGGTTGTACGGTATTTGTTAGAAGTTCTTTGGGAACAAGACTGGGTATGTGACTGTAAAATGCAGAGCAGTAACTCTGGGCGCCCAGCTTGAAGGACCAATATTGCTTGTTCAGGGAGCCCGGCCAACAAGAGTGGCACCATGGCACCAGATAAGCAGGTCATCAATGAGAAAAGCAGTGGCACCCAAGCTGGAAGAGGGAAGCAAACTCTTTTGATCTCAGATACCAAGGAACTTATCATTTTGATCAGGAGCAAGAAGGAAGTCTCAAAATCAATGGAAGCTCTAGTGATAAGTCTGCATACACCGCAAATATTTAGGCCTCGCGTCCATGAAATGGATTATACACCATTTACATTTTTTTTTTTTTAAATTATTTACTTGAGAGAGAGAGCCCAAGTTGGGGTAGAGGGCTGGCAGAGAGGCAGAGGGAGAAGCAGACTCCCCACTGAGCAGGGAGCCTGGACATGGGGCTTGATACCAGGACTCTGGAATCATGACCTGAGCCGAAAGCAGAAGCTTAACTGCCTGAGCCACCCAGGGTCCCATACCATTTACATTTTTAAAAAATGAAATATAGTATCATGCTATGGTTTTTGATACTTACCAGATCTAAAATCTTAATGAAGTAAAGGCCGGAGGGGAGTTTAATGTGCAGAGCGGTTTCATATGCATCATCTCCAGCATTAAATAGGGACACATTCAACATTATTGTCTTCACACTCCCAACAGCAAGATAGGTCTTATTTTCATGTGGCCTAAAAATTAAGTAATATTTAATGTTACTTAGTAACAAGTAATGTTTGGGAAATAAAAATCCCATCGCCTCATTTATCCTGATCATAAAATACTAATTTGGAAAAACACCACGGGGGAAATGAGCCCATACAAGTAGATACCCATTCATGTTAGAAAGAACTCAATTTTTCATGTTTCAGATAAATTCAGTCAGCTATTACCCAGGAAGTTTATTTTTAATTAGTCATAATTAAGTTAATCTCCTTTCTGTTTCACTTCTATAGCTTTAACATGTTTTCCTCACTGTTTCACAATATTTTTCTAAAAGCAAAGCTTTCTTTTCTTTACCTCTTGAAATACCTTGAACTAGCTGCTGCCCAAAACAAAGGGGAAAATGGGGGGAACTGGGGAAGAAAGGAGACTCCAGAGACAAACACCAGCCAAACAGGATGTTCTGGGGGAATGAGCACAGTCCGGGAAAGGACGGCTCTGCCCAGCAAGTGGATGCCCCTACAGTCTGTTGCACTACAATTCGTTTCTTATGGAAGGCTGGTCTGCGCGACCAATCACTAGACCAAATTAAAACCAGAACTGCAGCCATGCTTCACCATCCCGCGCCCTGGAAAGAGAAGACTGCTGCAAATCCGGACCTATGAGAAAGCCCGTGCCAGTTCGGACTCTGGCCCCAGGCCTTCAAGTTGGGAGGAGGTGGGTCAGCGTTCTGAAGCCTCAGCCGCCACCCGCAGCAGTGATAATTACTATGCTGCAAATTTGGCTCATGCACATCCCATGAAATCTCAGAACAACATGTTTATATATACAGAAGTTGAGGTGTAAAGAACTTCTTCAAAGTACCGCAGCCGGAATGTCCTAAAGTCTCCAGGTAAATGCTTGCACAGCCCGTTCTCTTTACCAATGAGAGCATTAGAGGAGCCCAAAGAAAACTTTTACACGATGATTCTATCCAAGAATTTAAAATGTAGAAAAATTGGTTCAGGGCGCCTGGGTGGCTCAGTTGGTTAAGCAACTGCCTTCGGCTCAGGTCATGATCCTGGAGTCCCTGGATCGAGTCCCGCATCGGGCTCCCTGCTCAGCGGGGAGTCTGCTTCTCCCTCTGACCCTCCCCCCCTCTCATGTGCTCTCTCTCTCAAATAAATAAATAAAATCTTAAAAAAAAAAAAAATTGGTTCAACCAATGAAGGATGTGACCCAAAGCAAAGTGTCAGCTGAGGGTAATCCTAGAAGTAAGAAAGGTAACCTTTCACCCAGTACTTGAGAATGTTTCCTCATGTTTACATTGTAGCATTTGAATCAACATCTGTATAGAAGATTAGTATGTAAATAAACTATTTATGGAAGTGCTAAACACAGAGTCCACATTTAACGGTTATTTGTGAATTGATTTAAAACAAAGGGTGTTTGAGAACAGGGTTAAAGAACAGGTTTCAAAATTTATGCTTGTAACCATTATTTGAAGACACATGAATGACTATAACTGATAGCTCCTATATAATCATCACGTTCATTATTCCCTGATAGTTTAAAAGATCCCCACTTTGTAGAGCTTGTAAAGGACAGATGTAGAGACAAATGTAAACAACTATTATAAATCCACAGGAAAGAGCTGTGAATGAGGGGCTCTGGGAAACCGAGGCAGGGAACCACTTTGCCTGAAGGTAGAAAAGGCATGTTGCTTCTTGCTTTTCTACCATTCTGATTATTTAGGTTTATTTAATTTTTGGATTATTTAATTTTTTTTAACATAAAGGAAGTTCACAACTTACCATGGATTATAGCCTTAATTGATTTCTCAAGCCCTCCTTTTCCAATCCAATTTTCACACTGCCAGAGAGGATCACTTTCCAGAAAGCAAACCTGACAATGTCCTGTGCCTCCTTACTGTGCTTTAGCGCCGTCAAGACAGGATGCTAACGTACTAGCACGACACACAAGGCCACACTTTCCACTGCACAGCTCATTCCTTTCTTCAGCCAAACTTACCTGCAAACAGGTATCCAAACACCTGTGTTCTGTATCTTACTTCAAGCTCTCTCTCTCTGCCTTTAACATCTTCCCTCTTCGTGTCTCTGGTTGATTTGTTCTTTTCAAGACTCAGCTAAGTGGTAATAGTTGTGAGAAGTTCTTCCAGTTGATACTCATTTCTAACCCTTATACCTCAGCCCTGCATTCCCCCTAACTGAAGTAGCTTCTTCCTCTCCTTCTCCCAGCACACTGGGCACCCCTTTGAGCTAGTGTTTTCACACTGTCTGGTTTTTCTCATCACTAGAATAAGTTCTGGAGAGAAGATGCTAGATCATGATTATCACTGATTTCTCAGAGCCTATAAACACAGTGTTCAAAAAAATATATGTGGTATATAACTGTATCAAACATTAAAAAGGGTCAGGTAACACTAAAGAAAAACATCAGAAAAACTGGAGAAATTACTGGATAAATGATTGTAAAAAAAAAGTTCATTAACTCATCATTATAAGTTTTACCAAATGATAGCCATGTTTATCTATTCCGTGACAGTATACACATTCCAAATATTTCGTTAAATAAACATCTACTACTACTACTACTACTACTACATTCATATGATTTGTACCCCATCACACAACCTAATATTTTAGTGGCAATACAGCTACTGAATTGACCAATAAATTAATGGCAATATCAATACTGGAAAGAGTATAAAGATTTTTAAAAAATTTTTATTTATTTATTTGACAGAGAGAGACACAGTGAGAGAGGGAACACAAGCAGGGGGAGTGGGAGAGGGAGAAGCAGGCTTCCCGCCGAGCAGAGAGCCCGATGTGGGGCTCAATCCCAGGACCCTGGGACCATGACCTGAGCCAAAAGCAGACGCTCAATAACTGAGCCACCCAGGCACCCCAAGAGTATAAAGATTTGAGAGAGAGAGAGAAAGAGAGAGAGAGCATGTGCACGAGCAGGGAGAGGGGCAGAGGAAGAGAGAGAAAGAGAAGCAGACTCCCCACAGAGCAGAGCCCAACGTGGGGCTCCACTAGAGGCTCAATTCCAGGACCCTGAGATCATGACCTGAGCTGAAGTCAGATGCTTAACCGACTGAGCCACCCAGGTGCCCCTGGAAAGAGTATAGTTTCTGAGGAGTAATTATTTTCATGAACTTCAGAATATGCGAACAAATTAGAGACCCTTCTCCCCACTCTTCTACTTCTGATGACAGAGATCTAAGAAGCTGCACAGTTCACTTATACCTAAAAATTCTGCCCCTCTTATCCTGATTTTTTTTCCATTTTACACTTATTGATCAAGATAGCACATATAGAAAAACACACATATCCTAAAATTCACAGCTCAGTGAATTCTTACAAACTGAATACACTAATGAAAGCACCTGGATCAAGAAAATGTATTACCAGCACGAGAGAGAAATGCCCTTGTGCTCCTCCCTTCCAGTTACTGTCCCCACCCATCACCTTCCTTTCAGGGCTCAATCCCAGGACCCTGGGATCGTGACCAGAGCTGAAGTCAGCCGCTTAATGACTGAGCCACTCAGGCGCCCCTGGTATTCTATTTCTTATAAGTGGAATCACCAAGTATTTAACTTTTACGTATCAGGCTTTCTGTACTTAAAATTTTGCTTAGAACATTAATCTCTACAGATGCGCAGGGTTGTAAATGGCTTATCCTCAATGGTGTTATGTATCAGTCTGTAAACATACCACATTTTCTTTATCCATTCAATGATCATTGAGAATTTTGGCAATTCTAGTTGGGAGCTATTACAGTCTTTTGGTGGACATACAAATGTATTTCTGTTGGGTTAGTCTTTGTGTCTGTCTAGGAGCAGACCCCTACAGTTTGTGAGCCCAGGATCAACTCCTGAACATCTCTAACTCTGGCTAATGTTGGCACCCAGCTTAAATTATACCAACAAATTATATTTAAATAATATACTATAAGGCACTATAGTATATATACAAAAAAATAAAAATGTACAACAGAACGGTCATGTAAAAAGCAAGTGTACCTACAGTAGGGTCTCAAAGACTGCTGTAAGAGAGGTTTACTGGACACAGCCATGCTCACTCACTGCGGCCACTTCTGCACTATGATGGCCAAGGTGAGTAGCCTAGTCAGACCTCTGTCCCACAAAGCCTAAAATATTTACTAACTCTCCCTTCATGGAAAAAGTTTGCTGGCTTTGCCGTGGAAACATCTGAGAAGTATAATTAGTTTAAAAATAAGCGCACAACAGGACATCATTATCTTTAAAATCTGATCATTCTGACAATGATAGAGGCTTTGTTATTTCGGGTGGCATCAGATGCAGCATCAGAGAAGACGATTTCCACCCCCCCCCGCCCCCCCACCCCCAGACCTCAGAGTTCCTGGGTTGGTATTGGAGACATCGAGGAGGAAGGAACGAAGAACAGGTGGGTGCATAGCAGCATCTCTAGCTTCTGATCCCTGGGTGTGGGACACTGGATCTTTTCTGGAAGGATGTGTAATAACTAACAGACCAGTAATCCTATGCACGACTATCCTTTTAGGGTGGAGGAACCGGACTCAGTGACAGCACGCTCTTTCTCCCACCATTTCAGGGAACACCTGTGATTTCCTCATGCCCGTGTTGCAAACCTTTGTGTTCCCTAAGTACGCATCTGCTTGGCCGCACAAGTAAATGTGCGAGAACACGGTGGTCCTGCACTCCCCCCACTGCTCCACAATCATGTTACAACGGAAGGAACCTAAGAGGTTCTAAAAGTAAACTTCAGCTTGACATTAAAGTTTAATTAAGACTTGTGGAAGAGCTGCCTAGAAATAGACATTTATAAAATATTCTGGCTGGTAACCAAAGCATTAGTCACTGAGCACCTTTGGGAAAGAAGTTGGCACTTAGACAAGCAACAGAAGGTGACAGCTCTGCATAAACAGCTAGGTTCCAAGACAACAGCAAATTAAGGAGAAACACAGTGCTCCCATTTCAGCAGCCAGACTCCCGGTTTATTTTCCATTTTTAAGTTATTTT